ATACATTTATGACACCCGTTACTCACGAATTAATACCTAGACCAGCTGCCAAAGGACAGTTAACAGTAAAACAAATTCAAGATATTCGACATACATTAGGTTTAATTGAATCGAAACAATTTTATCTGTTTGGTAGTCCTATTCAACGTTCATTATCTCCATGTATTCATCAAACTGGTTTTGATTACTTTTATTTACCCTATAATTATGAACGATGTGAAACAAATGATGTGACAGTCGTTCAAAATATTATGAAGCAATCGAATTTTGGTGGTGCTAGTGTAACAGTACCGTTGAAACAAGATGTTTATAAATTATTTATATCAGATACTAATTATAGTGTAAGCGATTCAGTGAAAAAAATTGGTGCGGTTAACACTATAACAAAACTTGAAAATGGAGGATTTTATGGTGACAATACAGACTGGATAGCTATTCATAAATTGATAACTGAAACATTATTTACTAAGAGTTCAGTACTTGTTATCGGTGCTGGTGGTACGGCACGTGCTGTGTTATATGCACTGGAACAAATTGAATATATTCAATTTATATACTTGTACAATCCTCGTACTCCCGAAAATGCAATTCGTTTAGCAAGTACGTATAACAATCAGAATATTTTACCTGTTACAAAAGACGATATTAACAATCTGAAAAATGTTTGTATTGTCATTAACACTTTACCATCGTCAATTAATTTTACGTTAGATAATTTATTTTTCGAGCAACACAGTTCTTCAGCAGAACATCGTTCAGTATTATACGACGTCAATTATATACCGTACGAAACAGCATTGACAAAACAAGCCAAACAATATAATTGGACTATTATCTATGGTATTGATATGTTAATCGAGCAAGGTTTAGAACAATTTCAAATATGGACAGGGAAAGCGACCACAGTCGCCCCAATAATAAGACAAACTGTGCTCAAAGCATATCACGAAGTCATCGATCACAATGAGTAACTCAATCATTCTGTTCACGCTTATTTTTCTTCGTTTTCAACTGACAGTGGAATAAAAAATGAATAAAAATGGAAGTGTTTACAAAAAACAGCTGTAAGAAGTAGATGACGAGTTCATTTATAACGTCATCGTTTTCCTCCCATTTTCTGTTGTCTTTCTACTCAGTTACTACTTCTCCTTATTTCTTATGGTAAGAAGCAACTGGCGTCACCAGTCCTCGTCGTCAATAAACAAATGGTTTATTGCCGGTGTTCTTCACATACTAAACTTATCTTTTGGAGAATAGCTTTTTATTACAGATCAAAACATCTGATAAAGAGAGGGCACTCATGATAAGACACTTCCGTGAACAATGTGCCGTTTCGTATGTGTCGTGTTCTCATGATTTTCAAGCGAAACGTTCCCAAGCATACACCTAATTTAGGCATTTTTTCGCTATTGTGTGTTTTTTAGGATGTTATGTGTGGAAGTGAACCCGAAAAGTAGTTTCTTATTAAAAATAGTTACACGATGCAACATCAAACTAGTAATAGTACTTGATAATAATCAGCAAGTATGATGTTTACACTTGTCAAAAACATGGTTAAATCTACGAAGAGAATAATCAGTAATCTGTGTTTCCATCAATATTTGAGACTTTTCAGTTAATCGAAAAACTGATTTTAGAACTCTAGGAAAATTATTTTATTCTTTGTGAAAGATTTGGCTTAACTTAGAACTGCTTAGCTACAAAGACAAAATATTCTATCTGATAAAAGGAGGAGGATATCAATCTTTTTGATCACCAAATTTTCTGCACATCTCAATTACACACAACGGACCGTTTACTTTATACAGATAGAAATGCTGGGCATTATTTTTACGGTCATAAAGTGAGGCAGGTAGAAATCGATTTGCTGACGTATCAACAGTTTAGTAAACATCAATACCGAGGGCGATGTCAACAAAAAAGTATCTTTTTTTTGGTGATCAAAAGTACATTTACTCAAATGAGGAAGACAATATGCAAACAATGAATGACATTAAAAAAAGAAGATAATTTCTCTGAGTTTGCATAAAAGGTCCACGCATCAATTCTGATTAAAAAAACCTAATTTATCTCATTTCCTTTCGAAAAAATTTCTGTTTGAATTCTACGACCACATAAAAGACAATAGCCAGAGCACACTTACTTTAGCGGTATAAGTTCTGCAACCTTGGTTCAATGCGCGAACCGACTCTTCCACGATTAAAGCTTTTGCCCGTCTTTTATACTATCATATAGTTCTGAGCAGTTCAGTTTCTTGTTTTATCTGATCTATATTAATATCGAAAAGATGATGAAGGCTACTCTTTAAAAAGTTTTTATATCATACAGAACCAAAAAGGATATTTCTAATCTATTTCTTCTTTGTTACATTAATTTATCAGTTAATTGAAAAGTGTGTAAGGCGCTCCAAATTCGAAGTTACAGTGAAATTCGCAATCCACTCTTGTTGCATATCCCTAGACGCAGAATTTTGCGCTGATTCAGAATATCACCTTTAAAATTCGATTAACTTGCGTCTTCGTTGAGAAAAGCGAAAAAACGAAAAAACGTGTTTTTTTTGCCGAAAACGGCTAATTTTGTAAAAATCACTTTATATTTTGTTACAACAACTATTTGAAACTTTCAAAGTTAGTTATCCTGACTCATCGTGAAAAACTGCATCGATCTATGTAAGTTTTAAAATTTTCCAATGAATAAAAGTGATCTACAAATCCACACGGATCGATATAATAATGCGTTTTACATCGACCCCGGAAAAGTGCGATCAGAGTTTTTTCGTAATAGATACAAACTTAATTCTTTCGCCATTCGATTTCCCATGAAATTTGCTACAAACGCACGGATCTTTTTTTCGAATTTTTTTCCCTGCTGCTAGAGGAAATTCCAAATTCCAGAGAAAACCGACTAATTTGAAAACGCCATAATCTACAACAGTTACTGCAAAACGCGGACTCTTACAATCGCCTATTCGGGGGCAATCATTTTTTACCTCTATACTTCGAGTATCAAAAAATTTTAAGCAAAAACAAAAAAGTTATTAAAAAATCACTACGCTGATTGAGTCAAAAGCTGGATTTTTTCGGTAAAACCCTCATAACTCAACACGGGAAAAAAATTCGAAAAAAAGATCCGTGCGTTTGTAGCAAATTTCATGGGAAATCGAATGGCGAAAGAATTAAGTTTGTATCTATTACGAAAAAACTCTGATCGCACTTTTCCGGGGTCGATGTAAAACGCATTATTATATCGATCCGTGTGGATTTGTAGATCACTTTTATTCATTGGAAAATTTTAAAACTTACATAGATCGATGCAGTTTTTCACGATGAGTCAGGATAACTAACTTTGAAAGTTTCAAATAGTTGTTGTAACAAAATATAAAGTGATTTTTACAAAATTAGCCGTTTTCGGCAAAAAAAACACGTTTTTTCGTTTTTTCGCTTTTCTCAACGAAGACGCAAGTTAATCGAATTTTAAAGGTGATATTCTGAATCAGCGCAAAATTCTGCGTCTAGGGATATGCAACAAGAGTGGATTGCGAATTTCACTGTAACTTCGAATTTGGAGCGCCTTACACACTTTTCAATTAACTGATAAATTAATGTAACAAAGAAGAAATAGATTAGAAATATCCTTTTTGGTTCTGTATGATATAAAAACTTTTTAAAGAGTAGCCTTCATCATCTTTTCGATATTAATATAGATCAGATAAAACAAGAAACTGAACTGCTCAGAACTATATGATAGTATAAAAGACGGGCAAAAGCTTTAATCGTGGAAGAGTCGGTTCGCGCATTGAACCAAGGTTGCAGAACTTATACCGCTAAAGTAAGTGTGCTCTGGCTATTGTCTTTTATGTGGTCGTAGAATTCAAACAGAAATTTTTTCGAAAGGAAATGAGATAAATTAGGTTTTTTTAATCAGAATTGATGCGTGGACCTTTTATGCAAACTCAGAGAAATTATCTTCTTTTTTTAATGTCATTCATTGTTTGCATATTGTCTTCCTCATTTGAGTAAATGTACTTTTGATCACCAAAAAAAAGATACTTTTTTGTTGACATCGCCCTCGGTATTGATGTTTACTAAACTGTTGATACGTCAGCAAATCGATTTCTACCTGCCTCACTTTATGACCGTAAAAATAATGCCCAGCATTTCTATCTGTATAAAGTAAACGGTCCGTTGTGTGTAATTGAGATGTGCAGAAAATTTGGTGATCAAAAAGATTGATATCCTCCTCCTTTTATCAGATAGAATATTTTGTCTTTGTAGCTAAGCAGTTCTAAGTTAAGCCAAATCTTTCACAAAGAATAAAATAATTTTCCTAGAGTTCTAAAATCAGTTTTTCGATTAACTGAAAAGTCTCAAATATTGATGGAAACACAGATTACTGATTATTCTCTTCGTAGATTTAACCATGTTTTTGACAAGTGTAAACATCATACTTGCTGATTATTATCAAGTACTATTACTAGTTTGATGTTGCATCGTGTAACTATTTTTAATAAGAAACTACTTTTCGGGTTCACTTCCACACATAACATCCTAAAAAACACACAATAGCGAAAAAATGCCTAAATTAGGTGTATGCTTGGGAACGTTTCGCTTGAAAATCATGAGAACACGACACATACGAAACGGCACATTGTTCACGGAAGTGTCTTATCATGAGTGCCCTCTCTTTATCAGATGTTTTGATCTGTAATAAAAAGCTATTCTCCAAAAGATAAGTTTAGTATGTGAAGAACACCGGCAATAAACCATTTGTTTATTGACGACGAGGACTGGTGACGCCAGTTGCTTCTTACCATAAGAAATAAGGAGAAGTAGTAACTGAGTAGAAAGACAACAGAAAATGGGAGGAAAACGATGACGTTATAAATGAACTCGTCATCTACTTCTTACAGCTGTTTTTTGTAAACACTTCCATTTTTATTCATTTTTTATTCCACTGTCAGTTGAAAACGAAGAAAAATAAGCGTGAACAGAATGATTGAGTTACTCATTGTGATCGATGACTTCGTGATATGCTTTGAGCACAGTTTGTCTTATTATTGGGGCGACTGTGGTCGCTTTCCCTGTCCATATTTGAAATTGTTCTAAACCTTGCTCGATTAACATATCAATACCATAGATAATAGTCCAATTATATTGTTTGGCTTGTTTTGTCAATGCTGTTTCGTACGGTATATAATTGACGTCGTATAATACTGAACGATGTTCTGCTGAAGAACTGTGTTGCTCGAAAAATAAATTATCTAACGTAAAATTAATTGACGATGGTAAAGTGTTAATGACAATACAAACATTTTTCAGATTGTTAATATCGTCTTTTGTAACAGGTAAAATATTCTGATTGTTATACGTACTTGCTAAACGAATTGCATTTTCGGGAGTACGAGGATTGTACAAGTATATAAATTGAATATATTCAATTTGTTCCAGTGCATATAACACAGCACGTGCCGTACCACCAGCACCGATAACAAGTACTGAACTCTTAGTAAATAATGTTTCAGTTATCAATTTATGAATAGCTATCCAGTCTGTATTGTCACCATAAAATCCTCCATTTTCAAGTTTTGTTATAGTGTTAACCGCACCAATTTTTTTCACTGAATCGCTTACACTATAATTAGTATCTGATATAAATAATTTATAAACATCTTGTTTCAACGGTACTGTTACACTAGCACCACCAAAATTCGATTGCTTCATAATATTTTGAACGACTGTCACATCATTTGTTTCACATCGTTCATAATTATAGGGTAAATAAAAGTAATCAAAACCAGTTTGATGAATACATGGAGATAATGAACGTTGAATAGGACTACCAAACAGATAAAATTGTTTCGATTCAATTAAACCTAATGTATGTCGAATATCTTGAATTTGTTTTACTGTTAACTGTCCTTTGGCAGCTGGTCTAGGTATTAATTCGTGAGTAACGGGTGTCATAAATGTATTCAATACACGTGTCAATTTTCCTCGATTACCCATTAAGAATACAATACGTTTTGGTTCATCAGGCTGTTTTTGTGATTTTTTTAGTTGAGTAAAAATATCTAACATATCATCAGTTGTTGAATTACTATTATCAGTATCAATGACAATTTTAATTATATCAACTTGACCATTATGTGTACACTTGTCAATAAGTTGATTAAAATCGAATACGGACCATTTCAAATGTAAACTACCAATGACATATGAATGTTTATTTTTGATTGTTTTTAACCAATTATTTTTTATATCCTTACTCCAATTAGCTTCCATATCGATAAATTCACATCCAAATTTGATACCATAATTTAATAATTGAAAAATCTCTACTTCATTGTTATTAAATGTACCATAATTCATTTGACTTCTTACTGTATAAATGATAGGTAAATGGGTATGTTTTCTTATATAAGCTAATTGTTGACCAATGAAATCAATATCATACGATTCTAATAGATCAACACGTAATTCAATTGCATCGCATCCATGAATAACAGATAGAAATCGATCTTTGTCAACATTTAATAGATTTTTATATGTTAAACATATGAAAAAACTATTCTCAGATATTGGTAATTGTGTTTTTTTAGCTACAATTGTTTTGATAAATGATAAAAGATTTATTTCATTTGTTCTCCAATTTTGTTCATTTTTTAATAGACAAAATTCATATTTTGAACATTGACGATAATAAACTTTACGCTCTTGTAATTTTTCATTTAAATCAAGATGTGGTCGATCATTACTTGTACATTTTAAATAGTCCATTTTTATGTCGTCTAAATCACGATTTATATAAATAACATATGGTTGTTTACATAATTCATCTCGAACTTCTGCTGTTTCAATACAACCTCCACCACATGAAACAACAACATGTTCTTTGCATAATAATGTTTTTTGTACAATCTGTTTAAATACTTTTAATTCTAATGAACGAAATATTTGCCATCCATTTTGATTAATATAGTCTTTAATAGAACTACCATGGATTTCTTTATCAATTTCTTTATCGACGTCAATAAATAAATATTTTAATTTGTTAGCAATAAATCGACCAATTGTTGATTTACCCGAACATGGCATACCAATCAAAAATATTCTGATGTTTGAATTTTCTAAATAAGCAAATAGTGTAATTGATGAAGACTAATAAATATTACATACTTTTAGTGTTCAATACAGTTTCATCTAAGATTAACATTGGTGATGTAACTTTAAAGCCAAACACCTTTTCTAGTTGCAACCAAAATTCTGGATATGTTTTATCCACACAGCATTTATCATCAATACTAATGTTTTTACAACGACTACTAACTATAGAAAATGACATAGCAATACGATGATCATCATAACAATGGATTATGGCTGATTGTTCTATATTATGATTATTAATACCTTCTATATCTAAGCCAGTCTCGACTTCTGAGGCACTAATGCCACATTTTTGCAATTCCGTTACCATTGCTTCAATTCTGTTACATTCTTTCAAACGTTGATTCGATATATTTCTTATTCGTGTTCGACCATGAGCAAATACGGCAACACACGCTAATGTCATAAATGTGTCTGTCATCTTATTCATATCAATCTCATCTGCAATGGCTTGCAACTGTTCGGGACCAGTTAGTGTTGTTGTTGTTTCAGTTTGTGTAACATGGCATCCCATCATCTCCAATATTCGACAAAACTGACTGTCTCCTTGCAAACTATTCGAACCAATATTGGCTACGGTTACTGTTAAACCAGGATGGACGGCGGCTATTGCTAGAAAATAACTGGCTGACGAGGCATCACCTTCAATTTGTATTTCAGACGGATTTTGATAAGGCCCAGTGCAGGGTATAGTATACGAGAAGGGTTCACTATCATCGACTGCAATGCTGAATTGAGTTTTCATCAGTTCAATTGTCATATCGATGTATGGTTTACTAACAATTTGTTTAGCTTGATTTAATTTTAAGACAACGGACTTTGAAGCAAATGGTGACATTAACAAAAGGCTCGTCACATATTGTGATGACACATCCCCATTAATTGTTATTTCTCCACCTCTAAATTGACCATTGCTGCTGATTTTAATTGGTAAATGACCATGTTCGTTCAAATATTCAATATTATTTTTATTCTGAGTTAAAGTGTCAACTAAATCTTTGATTGGACGCTCTTTTAATCGCTCATCACCAGTTAAAATTATTTCAGTTCTATCGGGTAAAATTGTGCATAACGTTGTTAAAAATCGACTACATGTACCAGAATTATTTAAATATAACGTTGATAAATCTGTTAAAGTTAATTTGCCACCTGTTCCATGAATGATTAGAATTTCATTTTTATCCCAGTAATATTGTACACCTAATTGACGTAAACAAGTTAACATTGTTTGAGTATCAATTGAATAGAGTAGACCGTGTATTCGACTTACACCGATACCTAATGCACACAATATAAGAACTCTGTTTGATATACTTTTACTACCCGGCACATATACCGTTCCTGCACTACTTGTCATGTTATCTGCAACTAACGTCACATTTGTATCCAATTGATTAATGAGGTCTTGATCATCAATACTTGTTGTATAGCTTGGTGACGATTTAACTGAGCCAATATTGGTTAGTATAACAAGTTGTTTCTTACCATTTCGATTTTTCTTGTCAATTGCCATCTTTTCAACTATATCGTGAATAGATAAATTAGACGGCAGTTTTGTTGGTAAATGAAAAGATTTCAACATATTGTTTAAACGGCACATAACAATATTTGAATTCATCAAAAAGCCTTTATTTCTGGCTAATTCTGCTTCTAATACCATACCGATCGACACGCATTCACCATGTAATAACTTTCCATTTAATAATATTTCAATGCCATGTCCGATACTGTGTCCAAAATTTAAAACTGAACGTAAACCAGACGTTTCTTTTTCATCTTGAATCACAATATTCACTTTCAATTTCACACACTCATATATAAGTTTTATCATAACTTTTGTGTCCTTATTTAGAATTTTATCGATACTGGTTTCAATAAATGTAAACAACTGTTCGTCACAAATCAACGCCATCTTTATAGCTTCAGCCATTCCATTACATAAATCTCTTACTGATAATGTCTCCAAGAACCGAATGTCGATCAATACAGCCTTGGGACGATGAAATGATCCAAGTAGATTTTTTCCATATTTTTCTACGTTAATACTCGTTTTGCCACCAATACTGCTATCAATCATTGCTAAAAGACTTGTGGGAATCTGAATGTAACCAATGCCACGCATATACGTTGAAGCGACAAAACCAGCTAAATCACCTACAACACCACCGCCAAGCGCTAATATCACAGTATCTATATTACAATTGTTGTCAAACATGAAGTCTTCAATATTTGCCTTTTGTTCTCGACTTTTACTAGATTCACTTGGCGGAATAGTGTAATGAAGTATGTTGACATTTTTCACTTTAAAACTAGTAATGATTGTTTCGCCATATAATTTGAATAAATTTTCATCCGTTATCAACACATATTTGTAAGAAGATGGTGTTAATTTAAAAACATAGTCTGGCAGTAATTGTAGAAGATCATATCCAATATGAACATTATACGTACCGACTGGTATGATATTATTTGAATGATTGCTATCCATCTTAGAATCAAATTTGAAGTAATAACACGTATCAATACCGTGGTCTTAGATGTTCTGAAAATCTTAAAAGTATATTACAATGATCGATGTGATTGACGTGAAATATCAGTCTAGTTAAGCAAGATATTGAATAAATGGTCCGGTAAGATTTCCTTGATGAGGATGAATAAGTTCTTTCTGCAAGATAGTCTCTTCACATTAATAAAGAAAGCACTAATGCTGTTACAAAGTTCTAATACTATTATGAAGATACGTTTTGGCGAAAAGAACATGAATACCACAAAAGACAGTTATATTTTATAAAAAAAATATGTTAGGCGTGGGATGCACTTACTTTTATTGTTCATGCATGAGAAATTTTCGTCTATTCATCAACGCATTTTCTCTCATAACAAGAGAAAACAGAAAGGATCATACGTTTAATACACTCGGTGGGTTTCATAGTTGAATTCTAAGTAAGTTTTGTCTTAGAAATACTTCTGACTTGTGTGGATCAAATAGCAACGTTTTTCTCAGGTCATATGCAAAGCATATGTACTTGTCTCTATTCGTATGAAATTTTACATCTAAGAGAAACATAGAACATTTCGTCGACCCACTCACAGTGGGCGTTTTCCTAACAACAGGTGGACATCGGAAATTTTTACTCGTAAAATATTTTTTCATGAATAATTATCATTGCTTCGTCAGCTCTGATGCTTTCAAAGAGAAAATAAATGTTTTGAGAAAAAAAATCACTTTTTTCGAAAAATCCACCTTGCAGATTCCTGGGGAAAAACCTCTATGGATAGTTACTCCATCCAAAACTTACGACTTTATGGATGATCCAACAGAACTCGATGCGCTGAATGTGACCTTGTTTTTTCTTAAGTATTTGTCTACTGAAAGAAATAGATTTTAGCTCAAAAACTAGGGCTTTTTGGAAACCTAACAATGAGATCGAACCGAGAAAAGGAGCCAAAATTCATACTCTACGTCGTTTCTATATATAGATAAATATTTACAAGCAAAAGTGGATTAAACGTCGTTAAAGTTTTAATGCTGCTGATTAGAAGATGTTTGTGCAGGAGTGATTTCTGTCTAAAATCAAACTCAATTCGGATGCGAAGTGTGAGAAATTCGAGTGGTGTGCATCTTGATGTGTTTGTCTCAAATTCATTTTCTTGACCTTCTCTCTCCACTGTGCCCGTTCAGAATATCACAGTACATTGACACTTAGTAACGTTCCAGTAGAAAAAAGTGAAACAGACTTTTATTGACTATGAGGTAGTAAAAAGTCTCAGCTGCTGTGATTCGGGTTGGAACAATAATTCTTTTGGGATTACATAATCCATATCTTGAAGTATACTTTTCGATATGTAGATGAGAAAACCGAGCACTTCGGCTGTTTTGCCAGTTATATGCTCAAATTCATTTTGCGCCCCTAAAGGGCGATTTCAATCAAACTTAGCTGTTCTACTTTTCTTGGGGAGAGTAGCAAACATTGATGATTTAGACAGACTGTACCCATCCTCATTCAAATAAAACAAAATTAAATGTCTGTCGAATATACAGCTATTTCTTATTTTATGATGTGGTATGAGATTTATTTTTCTTTCCAACCATATATCTGCTGCTTTCAATTTTTTCGCAGAGGCGTAGCAAAAAGAATGTGATTCTCGTGGGAGG